TAGCAGAAGGCATGGTACCAGGAAGGAGGGGCAGGGGCTGAGCGACACAAAGATGGGCACAGGATATAAGAGACTCCTTGAGTATGAAAGTGCTAGAGGCGGGAGAACTGGCGAGAGACCGAGTTTCTTTCAGGCAGACTGTGAGGAGAGCAACGTTCTGCAAAGGACCTGCTACATGATGTTGATGATGACTGGATACAAAGGACAATGCAGCTAAATGTACAAGAAATTCCAGATTGGGGATTCAGAGCTTTGTCCATGTGAAGAGGCAACATAGAATACTGAACATCCAGGAAGTTAACCCGGCCAACAAAGGCTCAATAAAAGCAGATGTGTCGGCCGAAAGTCGCAAATATCGCAGCGTTGATGTAAACAGGTGTAACGCAATTACATCACTCTGATAAATAAAAAGGAAAACAAGAATACTGACATGGGAGATGCAGATGCTCTCTACAGGCTGCAGAAAGAACCTAGGGGTGGCTGGTTGACAATCCATTGAAAACCAAGCTGTACGGAACAGTAGAAAACATGTCGCATCAGAGACTTCATAAAGCAGAGGCAGGGAGGACGAGAAGAAGAAACCTGATGTGTGTTCCAGGACCACAGTGTGAGGAAGAAAATAATCAACAGATCCTCCCTAACAATTTTATAAATAAACAGAGGGGGAACCTTTGAGGTCGTTAAATATTATGAATTAATCAAGTAACAGAAAGTGTATTGATCGGCACTCATAGAAAGAAGTAGAAAGATAGAAGAACACATTAGACAACATAAAAATCAAAAGCTATAGTTACCGTGCCGGGAATTGATCCTGTCCACCTCCAGACGTCGTCTGCGCCTCGCCATGAATTCAAGTGCACTAACAACATGGTCATCTAAGCACCCCCTAGGTTCAATTCCCGGCACGGTAACTATAGCTTTTGATTTGTATGTTGTCTAGTGTGTTCCTCCCTAACAAGCATGTTGGGTTCTTTCATAATATATCACACCACCCCCGTGTGGGTTCCGGGGCCCTATTGTGGGGAAAACAAGAATAGACCCACTGCCTCCCCAAAAGCATGTCGTAAGAGTCGACTACCTGGGGAGCTTCCTTTGAAGTCGGAGTGCATCTGCCTGAGAGGCAAGGAACCAGCAGTCTACATTCAATTGAATCAGATCTGTAAAACTGATGCACACGCAAAACTCAGGTTCTGGAGCAGGACTGCAGTCCAGAAGTGGACGAACAACCAGAACTTTACGCCAGAGTGTACAGCTGGTGAATGCGAAGAAGAAGATATCACACCAGATGACGTCACAAGACAGCCCAACAATTTAGAGGGTGGTAAGACTGGGTTTCCCGGCTGTCTGATACTTTTAACGACCTCAAAACATTAAAAACTGGCCCTAACCACAACCCACCTACATCCCCCGAGAAAGTGCAACCTAGGTCCCACAACGGCATGCAGCCTGTCTACTACCCCCTGAAATATTAGACTGCCCTGTGACCAGTGGATTTCCCCTGCTTGGGGTAGGATATTAAGAAAGCACCGCATGTTGTAAAAGGTGACTAATGAAGGTTTTGTGGACATCAGGTGTGTTGGGCCAAAAGGGGTAGATATTGTAACCATGCAGTAAACTATAACACAACAGGCCAACCACCCTGTTAAGGATGAATACAGTAGAAGAAGAAATCACTTTCACCACTACTATCACCACTTTCAAACCATCACCATCATCACTATTTTTTGCAAACCATCAACACCACTTTTATATCATCTCCACATCACCATTGAAAAAAAAAAATCATCATTCTACCGCCATTATCCTTGCTCTCGTATTATCACTATCACTACCACTACTGTCTTTATGAAAATAACATAAATAAATCTATGAAAATAAACTTAATACATCAATAAACTGAAACTTAACAATGAAGGCACCTCTCTAATCTAGAGATGACAATCTACTTGATTGATATTGCATCTATGAACCTAAACTTAGTGCATCTAGGAAGTGAAACTTAATAATGACGACTTAGTGAAACTTAATAATGAAGACTCAACAATGAAGGCACTTCTAGTATTTACAGACAATTATTTAACTGACTAACAGTACATCTCTGAACCTAAACTTAATGAGGAAGAGACATCTATAATGTGCAGACAACAATCTACCTGACTGAAAGTATTTATGAACATATTCGTTTGGCATCAATGAACTTTAACAGTGACAAAACTTCTCTAAGGTACAAAGAATCGTCTATTTGATTCATAATACCTCTTATGAACATAAACCTAATGATGAACACACTTTTCTAACTGAGACAGTGCATCTATAAACATAAACCTAATAATAATTGACTGATGGGACATCTATGAACATAAACCTAATAATAATTGACTGATGGGACATCTATGAACATAAACCTAATAATAATTGACTGATGGGACATCTATGAACATAAACCTAATAATAATTGACTGATGGGACATCTATGAACATAAACCTAATAATAATTGACTGATGGGACATCTATGAACCTAAACCTAATAATAATTGACTGATGGGACATCTATGAACCTAAACCTAATAATAATTGACTGATAGGACATCTATGAACCTAAACCTAATAATAATTGACTGATGGGACATCTATGAACCTAAACCTAATAATAATTGACTGATGGGACATCTATGAACCTAAACCTAATAATAATTGACTGATGGGACATCTATGAACCTAAACCTAATAATAATTGACTGATGGGACATCTATGAACCTAAACCTAATAATAATTGACTAATGGGACATCTATGAACCTAAACCTAATAATAATTGACTGATGGGACATCTATGAACCTAAACCTAATAATAATTGACTGATGGGACATCTATGAACCTAAACCTAATAATAATTGACTGATGGGACATCTATGAACCTAAACCTAATAATAATTGACTGATGGGACATCTATGAACCTAAACCTAATAATAATTGACTGATGGGACATCTATGAACCTAAACCTAATAATAATTGACTGATGGGACATCTATGAACCTAAACCTAATAATAATTGACTGATGGGACATCTATGAACCTAAACCTAATAATAATTGACTGATGGGACATCTATGAACCTAAACCTAATAATAATTGACTGATGGGACATCTATGAACCTAAACCTTATAATAATTGACTGATGGGACATCTATGAACATAAACCTAATAATAATTGACTGATGGGACATCTATGAACCTAAACCTAATAATAATTGACTGATGGGACATCTATGAACATAAACCTAATAATAATTGACTGATGGGACATCTATAAACATAAACCTAATAATAATTGACTGATGGGACATCTATGAACATAAACCTAATAATAATTGACTGATGGGACATCTATGAACATAAACCTAATAATAATTGACTGATGGGAAATCTATGAACATAAACCTAATAATAATTGACTGATGGGACATCTATGAACCTAAACCTAATAATAATTGACTGATGGGACATCTATGAACATAAACCTAATAATAATTGACTGATGGGAAATCTATGAACATAAACCTAATAATAATTGACCGATGGGACATCTATGAACATAAACCTAATAATAATTGACTGATGGGACATCTTGAACATAAACCTAATAATAATTGACTGATGGGACATCTATGCACATAAACCTAATAATAATTGACTGATGGGACATCTATGAACATAAACCTAATAATAATTGACCGATGAAACATCTATGAACATAAACCTAATAATAATTGACTGATGGGACATCTATGAACATAAACCTAATAATAATTGACTGATGGGACATCTATGAACATAAACCTAATAACAATTGACTGATGGGACATCTATGAACATAAACCTAATAATAATTGACTGATGGGACATCTATGAACATAAACCTAATAACAATTGACTGATGGGACATCTATGAACATAAACCTAATAATAATTGACTGATGGGACATCTATGAACATAAACCTAATAATAATTGACTGATGGGACATCTATGAACATAAAGCTAATAATAATTGACTGATGGGACATCTATGAACATAAACCTAATAATAATTGACTGATGGGACATCTATGAACATAAACCTAATAATAATTGACTGATGGGACATCTATGAACATAAACCTAATAATAATTGACTGATGGGACATCTATGAACATAAACCTAATAATAATTGACTGATGGGACATCTATGAACATAAAAAAAAGTAAAAAAAAAGTAAAGGACTCTTTTCCACCACTTCAGGTGTATAGGGAATATTTAAGGTCTAGATCTAAATTTTTATAGACAAATCGGCACAAGGTGGGTGCTATGGTCAGCACTATATCGACCGCCTTTACTTCCTGGGACTGCACACAGAACCCACTCCATGCTGGGTTGACCTGGGACCAAGGTCATTTTTGAAAAAAGTCCGGCTCCACCAGGCAGAAAACCCACGACCTTCCAATCCGCAGGCGAGCGCCTAGCCGCTACACCACGGCAACTGGGGCAGAATAGACATTCAGCCCTTCTAACAGCATGTCATAAAAGTGGACCATTCAAGTGTGTTTCCTTCAAAGCTGGAATGCCATTGCCTAAAAGGTGAGGAACCAACGCAGAGCATCATCATCATCATCATCGTGTCATCATCATCATCATCATCAGCTTGTCAACATCATCAACATCATCATTTCTCATGATTTTTAAAAAATTTCACCTCCTTCTTTTTCTCCCCGTCTCAATCTTTGTTCTTCTATTCATCCTCATTGGCATCCTCCTGAACATAAACTTCATGGTGAAAACACTTCTCTCATAGACTGAGAGTACATCTATGAACATAAACTTCATGGTGAAAACACTTCTCTCATAGACTGATAGTACACCTATGAACACAAACCTAATGATGAAAACACTTCTCTCATAGACTGATAGTACATCTATGACCATAAACTTCATGGTGAAAACACTTCTCTCATATACAAACAACCATCTACTGTACCATCAATCTTTTCACAGTTATCTCCAGTAAACCCTGCAGCACATTTACACACAGGCCCATCAGCTGCGTCTGTACAGGTGGCTCCATTCTGGCATTTAATGTAGCTGTCGCTGCACGAACCTGGTGACAATAGTATAAGTCAGTCAAGTAAAGTACCCTGTTTTACATCAGTGCTGCATCAGATACATGATGCTAAACTCATATTTTCTGTAGACCAATCAGCATTCAGTGTGGATTTGGTTCAGCACCACATCAATCATCTTCACATCCTTGGACAATCTCCTAGAGTCCACTTTAGGCCACCTGGAGCCTAGATCTGTTTAAAAAAAATATCAAACTTAATGTCAATTTAAATTTACGACTTTCAGACTGGTGACACTAGCAGGAACACAAACTCAACTCTTTCCATCCCGATGAGCTGTTATTTCAATAGTTTATGTGCCAAAGATTGTGTTCTAAACAGCAACAAAATTTTGGTTGTAATGAGTTAAAGCAGATGACAGCTCACAGAAACCGCCAGTGAAACAACCAGTTGTTACCCATATAGGTTGGTCTCAGGGCTGCCAATGGGATTTTTTGTGTGTGGAAAAACCCAGCTTCGCTAAACAAAAACCCAAGCAATACATTGACAAAGAACAAAAAAGCAAAATAAAAAACCCAGATTGTTAAAATGTACAAAATTTATAGTTACGAAACGAAACATTTATCACTTTTTATATAAGGATATATTTTAACAAAAACCCAGATTTCCGCAAGGTGTCAAATAAAAACCCAGATCAGGGGGGAACCCAGCATTGGCAGCCCTGGTCCTTGCAGAATGGCCAGCTGCATGCCGAGAGTGTCAGGCAAAGCAAAAACATAGTTGCAGTGATGATCCCCAGGACTATCCATAAAAAACTGCAATAGTTAACTGAGTGACATGTCCGCGAAACTTACCCCCAAATCTCAGCGCTTGACCACTTCGCCACCAGAGAGGAAGAAGAAGAAAAGAAGTAAAAAGAAAATAGAAGAAGAATAAGAAGAAGACAATGGAAAAAAAAATAAAGAAGACAGTGAAAAAAAGGAAGAAAAAGAAGAAGCAGAAGAGGAAAACAGAAGATGAAAAGGAAGAAGACAAAAAAAAAAAGAAAGCAAACATAACATGTTAACAACATACTTACGTTTGGTCCCGCATGTAGTTCCAGTCCAACCAAACGTACAAGCACAGACAAAACCCTGTGACGTGTCTACACACTGTCCTCCATTGAGGCAAGGAGCACCACTGGCTTCACAATTCTGTCCTAGATAAATGAAAAACATAACGATTTCATCATCTGGCAACTCAGTATTCTTCTTAAAGTCCATACCGTGTGGCGTTGGTATTCATGTCTATCTACAACCTTCTATCTTGTATACAATTAATCAACTCTAATTTAGAGGATCCTCCATGCCATAATGTCAGACTGTCCAGCATCTTTTCTCTCGGTTTCCCTCTGCCTCTCCCTCCTATTCAACTTTCCTGTTGTAACGATGTGCTCCTGTTTTCTCTTTCTCATGATATCAAAGAATGCAGACTATCTCTTTCTGATATGGGCAATCAGTTCTCTTTGTGAGTCAGTTTCTTTCAAGAAAAGGATTCAATTCCAGATAACAAGCACAAAATATTGAAATACAAAGCCTATCATTATCACTTAGCAGGTCCTTTGCAGGATGTAGCCTTTAACATTGTCTGCCTGAAAGAAACTTGGTTCCTGGCACCATGACTTCTGCTTTTATTTTTTCCAGTTGGATGAGAAGCTTGAAATGGCCAAATTATTTCAGTTTTTGAGACAAGATGTTGTTTACTAACCAATCTTCCTTGATGTTCACATCAGGATGTCGGTATGGCTTTTCCTCTTTGTCTATGGTATTCTGTGAATCTTTCTGCAGCATTTAAGCTCAGAAGACCTTTTCTTTTGTAGAGGCTGCGAGACAGTCCACGACATTCGTATGTTGCAACAGTGAAGGTGCATGCTCTCACAATTTTGTCTTTGATTTTCTTTCTGGTGCTTAAACATTAGCTTTTGATGATGTTTAATCTTTGCATTGCCATAGCCATTTTCCTCTTGACTTCTTTTGAAAAGTCTCCACTGCAGTTTATTATGTAGCCTAGCTATTAAAAATGTGTGAAATTTGCAATGTCTTTACCATTTATTGTTGTTTTTGCATTACAGGCAATGTTGTCTGGACAATATTTTTGTTGTCTGTAAATTCAAGAACTGGTTTTGAACAAAATACATCATTACATACAAAACGGTGGAAGAAAACGTATGGATAAGGTAGATACTGAACATGCTGTGTTCTAGAAATGCTGAGACAAAGGAGTCAGCAGTGATGAACCGCCTGTTGAAAATGGGTGTTGAACGAGGACCAGCATGCAGAAACCTGTTGGGGGACAACTAAAGAAGATATTCAAGTCAACTTCTACGGGTACTATGTTTAGCATAAAGACACTGAGATGCTGCTGCATCAGAAGACGGAGCACCACTGGATCAATCTGAGGTGCTAGGATGCATAACAAGTAAAAAATTGTAATGTAATATGCCTAAAGTATTTCCTTTTATAAGAAATGATTTTCACTGTGAGCCAATCCCCTTGATATTCAGATCGTTAAGAATGTTTCGGTTATTTTCCTCATAATTAGTACTGGAAGCATTAAACATCAACTTCTCATAAAATCACTTACTGGTTTGACAATGACTTCCACTTGTGCCATTCAGGCACACACAACCAGCGGTTTTGTTGACAATGTCACAAGTGCCACCATTCAGACACACGACTTTGCTGCAATCAATTACTGACAAAAGAAAATAAACAGCAAGGAATTAAATAAATTATCAATTTTTGGGACGACAACATCATGTGGCTCACACGTGGCGGTGAGAATAAAGGATGAATTAGAATAATTAATTACAATACCATGCATGTTCAGTTGGGAAGTGCTTTAGCATAGTGTCTAGCTGGTTCGATAGCCATATTTCAATTTACCATCAAAATGGATTAGAAAAAAATTATTTGGCCTTCCAAGATGGCCCTTATGTGTACCAGGAAATATTCTAAGAAGTGGGGGAGGGGGAGAAAATCTTCTTCTTCTTCTTCGCGTTCACAAGCTGTACACTCTAGCGGAAAGTTCTGGTTGTTCGTCCACTTCAGAACTTCAGTCCTGCTCCAGAACCTGAGTGTTGCGTGTGCATCAGTTTTACAGATCTGATTCACTTGAACTAGACTGTTGGTTCCTTGCCTCTCAGGCAGATGCACTCCGACTTCAAAGGAAGCTCCCCAATTAGTCGACTCTTACGACATGCTTTTGGGTGGGCAGAGGGTCTATTCTTGTTTTCCCCACGATGGGGCCCCGGAACCAACACGGGGAGGGGAGAAAATTTAAGCCTTAAATTTGTAAAAGAAATTGCAGTAACTAGGCCATTATGTTGTAACCTGTAAATATCGTTATTTATGATGTCAAGAGTGTTAAGCATATGATATCACAGTGTAGACGAAATCATAATGAAGGTTTCAATATGGCCACCTCACTTTTGATATGCACCAGAGAGGAGCAGTATTCTATTTTCCGTATTTAAATATTTTGTTTTTCAACTGTCACTATGACTTCATCAAGGTTCATCTGCACCATGATCTCACATGCTTAAAACTCTTGACATCCTTAACAACAAGACTGACAGGTTACAAGACAATGGCATGCTTACTGTAACTGTAACTTCTATCAGACTTTCAAAGTTTTAATTTGAAGCCTCCTTGTAAAAGTGGCATGTGTGATACTGACCACATACATTTTCATTGTACTCAAATTGCACTTAATTTTTAAACTAAAATCATTCTTAGCACAAAAACAGCAACGAATCTAATTTAATACTGCAATCAATATATATAACAACAAACATCATCAAAATTAACTACATATTCTTCATTTTTTGGTTTCTTCACCGGTTGTGAATTCCGGTGGCAGGTCCCGGTAGTTCGTCCATTTGGACTTTTGGCATTTACTTGGACCTGAGTTTTGTGTGTACATCCGTTTTACTGGATTATTTGTTTGCTGTTCCCTGCCTCACTGGCAGTTGTTCTCCGACTTCGAGGGGACACTACATATTAATAACAGTGATGTGCTCAAATTCCAGCCACCTTTCTAAACAATAATAATTCTTAGCATCTTTTTCTTCTTCTCCACATTCACCGGCTGAAAACTCCTGTGGAAAGTTCTGGTTGTTCATCCACGTCTGGACTTTTGTCTTGTTCTAGAACTTGAGTTTTGTGTGCATATCTGTTTTACAGATCTGGCATATTTGTATGCAGAATGCTGGTTTCCTACCTCTCAGGGAGATGTACTCTGACTTTAAAGGAATCATTCCTAATAGTAGCCTCCTATGACATGCTTCTTTTAGGAGTCAGGGTAGTGGTTCTATTGTGCTGGCTTGAAGTTGACTGAGTTATGAGTTAAGAACTGACAAAAAAAAACTCAGGACATTCCCATAAGTGCTCCATCTCCATCTTCAGCAGCAAGTGCGGTTCCAATTCGGATGGTATCAAAATAGTCTAATTGTATGTGTGTCTTGCCTCTTCTCTGTGTGTTCAGCATGGGCCAGATCCCCCTCGCTGCACAACCCTCTTCAGACATTATGATTTATTTGTGTGTCTGTACGGTTTACTCACTCCCAAAGGACCCTCACAACTAGATTGTCTTGCACCAGTTACCCATCAAGTAGCGCAGAACCAGTCAGTCTATATGCCTACTCATTTCCCAACACACCAAAAGTTCTCCTGGAGAAAATACTGATGTTGAATTACTATTTGGTCTATTTAAAAAAGAATTTATGGCTCAAGCAGCAGAGGCAAGCTGAGCCTCATGCATGTAATGTCCTTACTTAATGGTCTCAACTGTGATAATGATAAAAGATAAAAATACATGCAAACTAACTGAATGTAGAAAGTGATCTCATTTTAAAAAACAAACATTAAAAATACTTTTATTTAAAAAAAAAACTTTATTTAAAATGCATCAAACAATAATTGCACTAAAAATAGGTACATATAATTTGTCATATACTTTATTGGATTAAAAAAAAAAAGTTAAGCTGGGAGATGTGAACCAGCGTCCCTGTACACGGTTATAAATCATAAGGGCTCTGCCACCAGCACCGACAGCTAATAAGAAACTGTCCACTTGTGTCGTTGTCCGCACGCAACTCCGCAGCTACAGCGATGTTCCTCCATTTATTCCAGAGTGTGAACTCTGGTACCCATTACTTACAGACTGGGTAAAACCCCGGAACACCGGCCGTGGGCTGCTGCGAGTCGCAGCTGAATTTGAAAGCGAGTCTCCTATCGACTGCGCTAAAGCAATCCCTTTACTGGATACTAGAAATTAAATTATTCTCTACAGAAAACTCATCTACAATTTTATATCATATTATAATAATAAAAGCATTGGGCTTCCTTGATAACAATAATTTCTAAGTATCTGTATATTTAACAACTGAATCAGATGTATAAAGACAACGGCTTACAAATGCAAAAGAATTTAGCCTTACCAATTTCACAAAACTGGCCACCAACTCCACCAGGACAGTTACATTTCAGTTCTCCTGTAGGTTGCTGGTTGCAGGTTCCACCATTAAAACATTTCACATGGTCGCAGAGATTGCCTACATGTCACGTAAAGAACAAAATATCAGTTGAAATGATTTCCAGCATACAACGAAGATGGGAACATTTCGCATGGTCGCAGAGATTGCCTACATGTCAAGTAAAGAACAAAATATCCTTTGAAATGATTTCAAGCATACAATGAAGATGGAAACATTTTGCAGCGTCGCAGAGATTGCCTACATGTCAAGTAAAGAACAAAATATCCGTTGAAATGATTTCAAGCATACAACGAAGATGGGAACAATCATACATTTTAGTGCTTAAAACCTTCACCTCAAGAAAACAGTTTTTCTTGCTTTTACGGGTTTTGGCTGTTAGAATATCTTTTAACTCTTTGAGTCCCAGGGAATGCATCATACGTTCATAGGTTCGTACCTAGAAGCCCAGTGAACGCATGATGGGTCGATTTTAGTCTCTTTTGATTACCCATTGGGCCTGGGATGCTAAACCCCCTTGGACTCAAAGAGTTAGGAGCTTTTGTAATGGCTGCGGCTGTACAGCGAATAGACACACTGGGTATGATTAAATTTAAAAACAAAATATTTTTAGATATGATTTTAATTGAAAAATAGATATATTAAAAAATTGTGGATAATTTTATTATTACATCACATTGCTTACTGTGGCAGTTACCAAAACCACTTTAAAATGGTCAAAGGGAAGTAAGTCTGTTAATTCGCTGATCCCTTTATATTTATGATTATCTGTCTTTATGTAGAAATAAAACATTTCCTGATTTGGACATTTAGTGGCTGAAAACATATTTTCCGTTTTTTAGTGACAGGACATCATCAAAGAAGCACAGAACTTTGTGTCAGTCTATCTTCTCTTTTATTCACAGAAGGAGACAGTCATAATTTTGTGGCCATGTTATGAGAAGAGGAAAAATGGAACACATTGTGACCACTGGAAAGTTCTGCCGAAGGAGGGAGAGAGGAAGACAAGGCTAGAAGGTTCTTGACAGTCTTGTTGCATGGCATGGAGGTGTGTCAGCACACAACTGATACATGCTGCAGGAGATCGCAGATAGTGGAGAGGCATGATCGCCCATGCCAGTCGGCAAGGCACCTGATAATGATAATGATATTCTTTGTAGTTTAGGGCGGGCGTGCAAGGAAATGAGCAACCTGATCGACCTGCAGGTAAAACTACTGTGAAGGATGGACAAGCCATGGACCATGTTGATATTCTGAATGCTCTAGGACAAGTAAGACGTTTCCGAGAACCAAGTGATGACTGTGAATCTGCAACAATGACCAGACTGCAAGAACAACATATTAAAAGGGGTGTGGCCAGACAAGCGCGCTACGCAAGAAGCCAGAGAAGAAAAAGAAACCAACACAGAACTGGTGTCGTGAGCTACTACATGCTGCATGATTTACTAAGGAGGGGACCCAAGCACTTATGGACTGAATAGTTCAATGTGCAAATAAAATAAACTGTTGACTAACTAACTAACTAGCTAACTAACTAACTAACTAACTAACTAACTAACTAACTAACTAACTAACTAACTAACTAACTAGCTAACTAACTAGCTAGCTAACTAACTAACTAACTAACTAACTAGCTAACTAACTAACTAACTAGCTAACTAGCTAACTAACTAACTAACTAGCTAACTAACTAACTAACTAACTAACTAACTAGCTAACTAACTAACTAACTAGCTAACTAACTAACTAACTAGCTAACTAGCTAACTAACTAACTAGCTAACTAACTAACTAGCTAACTAGCTAACTAACTAACTAGCTAACTAACTAGCTAGCTAACTAACTAACTAACTAACTAACTAACTAACTAACTAACTAACTAGCTAACTAGCTAACTAACTAACTAACTAACTAGCTAACTAGCTAACTAACTAACTAACTAGCTAACTAACTAACTAGCTAACTAGCTAACTAACTAACTAACTAACTAGCTAACTAACTAACTAGCTAACTAACTAACTAACTAACTAACTAACTAACTAACTAACTAAGTTTAGTGGTTTGACCCCCTGGATATTTACAAAAAGTGACCAAGACCAAATTTCCCCTCTTCTAGTTTATTTTTTTAAAAATGTGTTAATACTTTAGTTTGAGAGAATTATACGGACGTATTTCTGAAAAAGAAATTTAAAAATAAAAAAAGAGGTCAAGATTATTATGGGGTGAAAAAGTCAACAGAGGCAAGTTAATATAAATAATAAGCTTCAAAGGCAAGTTAATATAAATAATCATTATTGTTATCCACATTTTGGGAAGAGAAAGGTGTAGTCCTACTAAGACAACTGGAAAGATTTATGAAAAGGAAGACAGAGCAAGACAATGAGAAAACATTCATAACTGCATTGTTTTTTTCCCACAGCACAGAAGTATTCTTTTTCAAAGTTTGGCATCTGTGAGCTACAGCAGAAATTCCGGGCTGTTTACTTGTTCTTCTTCTTTGTGTTCATCTGCAGAAAACTCCGGCGGGAAGTTCTGGTTGTTCATCCACTTCTGGACATTGGTCTTGTTCCAGAACTTGATTTGTCTGCACACATTTATTTTTCAGATCTGTGTTATTTGTGTTCAGACTTTTGGTTCCTGGCCACTCAGGCAGATGCACTCCCACTTTGAAGGACACATCGAAAATTAGTGGCCCTGCATGAGATACTTGTTAGAGGGGCAGTGGGTCTCTTCTCTTCCCCCCAAAATGGGGTCCAGAACCCACAAGGGGAAGAGGTTGTTTGTTTATGTTTAGACTTCAGTCTTGTTTGATAATTTGAGTGTTGTGTGCTTTTCAATTTTAGATATCTGTTTACAAACTATTTTTTTGTATTTTTAATGTGTGCCTCTCAGGCAGATGTGCTCCAACTTCAAAGAAAAACAGAAGTACTGTTGCCACTGACAAGCAGCCAGAGATGGTGGTTGTGATGAGGTGCTTTGCATGGTCTCTACGCAGACATTGTAGCAAGAAGAATACTTGCAAGCAGAAAGTCTGTGCTACACGTGATGGCACGAGATATTTGTGGCTAGTCGAGTAAGTGAGGGAAAGCCAAAGCTAGCCTAGTGGTCAGTTGATCATCAGAAGTGATAGAAGATGGTTGTATTAGTAGAAGATGTAGTCTCTAGGTCGTGCGTGTGACCGGTATTTGAATATGTTGCGAGCGATAGAAGTCTGAATAATTGTTGAAGCATGTGGGAAGAAATGCAACTGAATAAACTGATAGTATGTATAAGAAAGCTGAGTAGTGTTTGTGTTATTAACCCTAGACGTTCAAGCAGTGCAAGTTATGTTGTAGTAATCATAGAGAGTGAATCGTGGCGAAAGCTAATATGTAGTGAGTCAAGGTACATTTCAAGTGTTGTATTATTTCAAGGTTCATTCCAAGTCACGGTACAGCCACGCTTCATTCCAAGGTAGTTGAAAGAGTAGCTTCATTCCAAGGTAGTTGAAAGAGTAGCTTCATTCCAAGGTAGTTGAAAGCATAGCTTCATTCCAAAGTAGTTGAAAGACTAGCTTCATTCCAAGGTAGTTGAAAGCATAGCTTCATTCCAAAGTAGTTGAAAGAGTAGCTTCATTCCAAGGTAGTTGAAAGAGTAGCTTCATTCCAAAGTAGTTGAAAGAGTAGCTTCATTCCAAAGTAGTTGAAAGAGTAGCTTCCTTCCAAAGTAGTTGAAAGAGTAGCTTCATTCCAAGGTAGTTGAAAGTGTAGCTTCATTCCAAAGTAGTTGAAAGAGTAGCTTCATTCCAAGGTAGTTGAAAGAGTAGCTTCATTCCAAGGTAGTTGAAAGAGTAGCTTCATTCCAAAGTAGTTGAAAGAGTAGCTTCATTTCAAGGTAGTTGAAAGAGTAGCTTCATTCCAAGGTAGTTGAAAGCATAGCTTCATTCCAAAGTAGTTGAAAGAGTAGCTTCATTCCAAGGTAGTTGAAAGCGTAGCTTCATTCCAAAGTAGTTGAAAGAGTAGCTACATTCCAAGGTAGTTGAAAGAGTAGCTTCATTCCAAGGTAGTTGAAAGCGTAGCTTCATTCCTAGGTAGTTGAAAGCATAGCTTCATTCCAAGTGGGAGCTTGTCCGAAGGAATTCGAAAACCACGTGGACCATAAGCATGGGAAAACATTTTTGTTTCTTTCAAGGTAAGACAAAATTCCTGAAATCGGTATACGATACAACGATGCCTTCACCCTGGCAGGACCTCAAAACCCAGCGAGCGCGCGACGAGACAGATGACCAATGAAAAATGGAGACCATGCAAAGCACCTCATCACAGTGGTGATTAGAAAAGCGTGGCCCTGAAGAGACTGGGAGTGAAAATAATTTTAGTGGAAATTCTTTAGAAATATACAAGTGAATTATTTTGGCCACCTTGAAAGAAATAATACTTTTATAAAAGCCACATGGAGGGAAGAGTTGACGGCAGATGAGCAAGAGGCAGACATGGATACAAGTGGAAAGATAACATGAAAATATGTATGAACAGTAGAAAGTGACAACACGGATGAGAGACAAAACAGTGTTGAAGATCCACTGCAGTCGACCTTCACTGTGGAGATGGCAACTGACCGACTAATTAAAGTCAAGATACAAGGTATCTCCTCCCTACAACATTCAGTTGGATTGTTGACTGGGTCACCCATTGGTTAGCCAGCAGACGACTTTTTCGCTGGTCGGGACAGTATTTGGGTCTGTCTCGTTGATCGCATCTACACTGCAGGAGTCCTTTTTTGGTGGCGAGCAAAGCTAAGCCATTTTATATGGCGCACATAACCTAGTCACAAGTATAACCTAAAGCTCCCCCTTGAGGATGCTGGTTGAAAGTGACAATTTAAAAGGTTTTTTTTTCAAAATAAGCCAAGCAACATCTAGCAATTTGCTAGCAATTCTGATCATGTATAAACATAATTACTGTAATAGTTTCCTTTGAAGTCAAAATGTGCTTGCCTGAGAAGCAAGGAACCAACAATCTGCACACAAATAAGCCACAATTGTGAGATAAATGTGCATGCAAAACTAAAGTCCTTGAACCAGGTCAAAGTCTAGCAGCGGACAAGAATCAAGACTTTCCACCAGAGTTTACAACCAATGAGTGCAAAGAAAAGAAAAACAAGAAGAAGAAGAAGAAGAAGAAGAAGAAGAAGAAGAAGAAGAAGAAGAAGAAGAAGAAGAAGAAGAAGAAGAAGAAGAAGAAGAAGAAGAAGAAGAAGACTGAAACAGTTATGATATAATTACCTTTAGTTTCACAGAGCTGACCAGTGTAGCCAGGTGGACATAGACAGGAAGCAGTTCCTGTGGAGTCCTGACATAGACCACCATTCTGACAGGCCAGGCTGGACTTCTGGCAGGCTCCAGTTGTTGTGACTGTAGGTGAGAACATACAGAACCAGTTAAATTGATGACCAGGCATTATTCATGAATGGGAAGGGAAGTCACTCTCTTGCTGGGCTCAAAAACATAACAAAATTTCTATAAATAAACATATATTGTGTAAGACTTCCATTAACAAACACATACTGCATTAAAATTCAAAAAAAAAAAATATTGTGTAAGACTTCCATAAAGTAATATATATCATATGAGATTTCCATAAATATATACTGTGTGAGATTTCCATAAACAAACATATACTGTGTGAGTAACACAAACAAACATGTTGTGTGAGATTTCGATAGACCTACATATACTGTGTGAAATTCCCATAAATAAACATACATTGTGTGACATATCCATAAACAAAAATACACTGTGCGAGAAACCCATAAACAAACATATACTGTGTGAGATTCCCATAAACAAACATATACTGTGTGAGATTCCCATAAATAAATATATACTGTGTTAGATTCCCGTAAACAAACATATACAGTGTGAGATTCCCATAAACAAACATATACTGTGTAAGATTCCCATAAACAAACCTATACTGTGTGAGATTCCCATAAACAAACATATACTTTGTGAGATTCCCTTAAACACACATATACTGTATGAGATTCCCATAAACAAACATATACTGTATGAGATTCCCATAAACAAACCTATACTGTGTGAGATTCCCATAAACAAACTATACTGAGTGAGATTCCCATAAACAAACATATACTGTGTGAGATTCCCTTAAACAAACCTATACTGTGTGAGATTCCCTTAAACAAACATACATTGTGTGAGATTTCCATAAAAAAACATACATTGTGTGAGATTTCCATAAACAAACATACATTGTGTGAGATTTCCATAAACAAAAATACATTGTGTGAGATTTCCATAAACAAACATACATTGTGTGAGATTCCAATAAATAAACCTACATTGTGTGAGATTTCCATAAAAAAACATATATTGTGTGAGAATTTCATCAACAAATATATACTGAGATATATACTGAGAAACAAGCATTCATTGCGAAAGATTTTCATTTAAAAAAAACATATACTGTGTGAGCACTCTATCCATAGACAAACATATACTGTGTGAGCATTCCATAGACAAACATAACACCCATAGATCCCCACATGCTACATACGTGGTGTCTGACAAGTGGGGCCGGTGAATCCTTTTGGGCACAGACACTGAGTTACACCTGTAGCACTGGAACACTGGCCTCCATTGAGGCACTGCAGGTTGGATGTGGTGCACGGATCTGTACTGGCCACTGCAAGGGAGACAAGAAAACATGAATGTATGTACTGCTAAAGACAGGTATGAATACACTGCTAAAGAGTTGCATTAGCAATGCAGAGACTAAACAGCAAGAAGAACCTATGGAGCAGCACTTGCAAGTGCGTTAAACCAAATATATTAAAGATACCAACAACAGATCATTTAGTTGTAATGCTAGAGAAGAAACCTATAAAAATAACGGACCATATTCTCTTATTTGGGTAGCTATTTTGACTCTCAAGGAGATACAAGGAAGGAAATTATGATACACACTAGCAGAGCAACAATACTCTTTAAAAGCATTAACAAATATGAAGCTCCAAGTTATGCAGCTTTAAGATCAAACTACGAATCTTCAGTTGTAATGTTATTTCAGTTCTGGTAATCTGGTAATCTTAGTTTCAGCTTCATAGCAAACGTGTCACCCTATAGTTGCTCCACTCCTGTGCCAATGAAAAACAAACGTAGCTCACAGTGTCAAGCCATGCACTCAAATCAGAAGCTGGGCGACGAAACTACTATTTAAGTTCTAACATATGCCAGTGAAAGTTGAAAAACAATCAAAGATAGGGGACGAAGGTTAAATGCATTTGAAAACTAATGTCTGAGAAAAAGCATAAACACAAAATGGGATGAATATTTAAAAAAAGAGTGAGGAGATCAGAGAAATCTCTGGACAAATACATGTATCAACTGCAATAAAACAAAAGATATAATGGGCACGGTCTGAGATAAATGAGCAATAAATTACAAAAAAGGCATGGTCTGAAAAAAAAAGAGAGGCTGTCCAAGGGGAACATTAAGAAGAACATTATTATGAAATGCCAAAAAAGGCTGGGCTGAACTTCATGTCAGAAATTGAGAAAGTTGCATGCAATAGAGCAGACTGGATTAATCGAATGTGAGCCCTGTATGGTATCTTATAGCACACAAAGGATGATGAATGTAAGCTAAACTGAATAAAGTAGTTTAATGCATGTAATGTAAGGTAAACTGAATAAAGTAGTTTAATGCAAGTAATGTAAGGTAAACTGAATAAAGTAGTTTAATGCAAGTAATGTAAGGTAAACTGAATAGAGTAGTTTAATGCAAGTAATGTAAGGTAAACTGAATAAAGTAGTTTAATGCATGTAATGTAAGGTAAACTGAATAAAGTAGTTTAATGCATGTAATGTAAGGTAAACTGAATAAAGTAGTTTAATGCAAGTAATGTAAGGTAAACTTAATGAAGTAGTTTAATGCATGTAATGTAAGGTAAACTGAATAAAATAGTTTATTGCATGTAATGTAAGGTAAACTGAATAAAGTAGTTTAATGCATGTAATGTAAGGTAAACTGAATAAAGTAGTTTAATGCATGTAATGTAAGCTAAACTGAATAAAGTAGTTTTATGCATGTAATGTAAGGTAAACTTAATAAAGTAGTTTAATTCAAGTAATGTAAGGTAAACTGAAAAAAGTAGTTTAATGCATGTAATGTAAGGTAAACTGAATAAAGTAGTTTAATGCAAGTAATGTAAGCTAAACTGAATAAAGTAGTTAAATGCAAGCAATGTAAGGTAAACTGAATAAAGTAGTTTAATGCAAGTAATGTAAGGTAAACTGAATAAAGTAGTTTAATGCAAGTAATGTAAGGTAAACTTAATAAAGTAGTTTAATGCATATAATGTAAATTAAACTGAATAAAGTAGTTTAATGCAAGTAATGTAAGGTGAACTGAATAAAGTAGTTTAATGCAAGTAATGTAAGGTAAACTTAATGAAGTAGTTTAATGCATATAATGTAAATTAAACTGAATAAAGTAGTTTAATGCAAGTAATGTAAGGTAAACTGAATAAAGTAGTTTGATGCAAGTAATGTAAGGTAAACTGAATAGAGTAGTTTAATGCAAGTAATGTAAGGTAAACTGAATAAAGTAGTTTAATGCATGTAATGTAAGGTAAACTGAATAAAGTAGTTTAATGCATGTAATGTAAGGTAAACTGAATAAAGTAGTTTAATGCAAGTAATGTAAGGTAAACTTAATGAAGTAGTTTAATGCATGTAATGTAAGGTAAACTGAATAAAGTAGTTTATTGCATGTAATGTAAGGTAAACTGAATAAAGTAGTTTAATGCATGTAATGTAAGGTAAACTGAATAAAGTAGTTTAATGCATGTAATGTAAGCTAAACTGAATAAAGTAGTTTTATGCATGTAATGTAAGGTAAACTTAATAAAGTAGTTTAATTCAAGTAATGTAAGGTAAAAAAAAAAAGTAGTTTAATGCATGTAATGTAAGGTAAACTGAATAAAGTAGTTTAATGCAAGTAATGTAAGCTAAACTGAATAAAGTAGTTAAATGCAAGCAATGTAAGGTAAACTGAATAAAGTAGTTTAATGCAAGTAATGTAAGGTAAACTGAATAAAGTAGTTTAATGCAAGTAATGTAAGGTAAACTTAATAAAGTAGTTTAATGCATATAATGTAAATTAAACTGAATAAAGTAGTTTAATGCAAGTAATGTAAGGTGAACTGAATAAAGTAGTTTAATGCAAGTAATGTAAGGTAAACTTAATGAAGTAGTTTAATGCATATAATGTAAATTAAACTGAATAAAGTAGTTTAATGCAAGTAATGTAAGGTAAACTGAATAAAGTAGTTTGATGCAAGTAATGTAAGGTAAACTGAATAAAGTAGTTTAATGCATATAATGTAAATTAAACTGAATAAAGTAGTTTAATGCAAGTAATGTAAGGTAAACTGAATAAAGTAGTTTAATGCAAGCAATGTAAGGTAAACTTAATGAAGTAGTTTAATGCAAGTAATGTAAGGTAAACTGAATAAAGTAGTTTAATGCATGTAATGTAAGGTAAACTGAATAAAGTAGTTTAATGCAAGTAATGTAAGGTAAACTGAATAAAGTAGTTTAATCCAAGTAATGTAAGGTGAACTTAATAAAGTAGTTTAATGCAAGTAATGTAAGGTAAACTGAATAAAGTAGTTTAATGCATGTAATGTAAAGTAAACTGAATAAAGTAGTTTAATGCAAGTAATGTAAGGTGAACTTAATAAAGTAGTTTAATGCAAGTAATGTAAGGTAAACTGAATAAAGTAGTTTAATGCAAGTAATGTAAGGTGAACTGAATAAAGTAGTTTAATGCAAGTAATGTAAGGTAAACTGAATAAAGTAGTTTAATGCAAGTAATGTAAGGTAAACTGAATAAAGTAGTTTAATGCAAGTAATGTAAGGTGAACTTAATAAAGTAGTTTAATGCAAGTAATGTAAGGTAAACTTAATAAAGTAGTTTAATGCATGTAAGTTAAACTTGATAAAGTAGTTAATGTAAGTGGTGTAAGGTAAACCTAATGACATATTTTAATGCAACTGATGTAAACTAAACTGAATAAAGTATTGTAATGCCATTAATGTACGTCTCAGAACGTCTCACCTTCTTGTTCACATCGGGTACCAGTAAAGCCATTGGGACATAAGCACTCAGCACTCCCAGTCTGCTCACTGCACTGTCCTCCATTGAGACAAGTTGATGCAGTGCACGCACTGCCTCTAGACACTATAGAAACACACATGGTGGTTAGTGGCAACCTATTTATAACAGTATATCTATAAAGATTCATAACTAACAATTATGGTGTCTAGCCATCATGGTTTAGCAGCTAGACACTTGCCTGCAGATTGAAAGGTGGTGGGTTCAGATCCTGGTGGCGCCGGACTTTTTTCAAACAATGATCTTGGCTTCCAGGTTGACCCAGCCTTGACAATCCTTGAAAGTAATGGTGGCAGGTGAGATGCTGACCATATCACCCACAAGGTGCCAATTGGTCTATAAAATATACAGTTATTAAATGTGTGTGTGTGTGGTGGTGTGTGTGTGGTGGTGGTGATGTGTGCTGGTGGCCGTGGTGGTGGTGTATGGTGGTGGTGTGTGGTGATGTGTGTGTGTGTGTGTGGTCAGCAGTAATCAATGAATGTTGAATTAGGAATCGACATCATAGCACTCAGGACACCGGGGTGTATCTAGTCAATAGCCTTGAGTTTAACAGTTTTACACCTAATTTAAGTCGAATTATATGATCATCACCTGTGGATCTGAAAGTCATGGGTTCAAATCTTAACAGGGACGGACGCACCACCTATAAAATGTAGGTCTAGACCTGTGTAATGATTCTATAAATAGGGATAACGTCAGGGTATGACTGACAGAATTGGGTAAGTCCCTGATAGCATGGGTTTCACGGAGACATGGTGAAAAGACAAGAGTGAGTGAGTCACGTGTGAATGCGAGATCTGGGGGATTGAGAATGAGGTGGTCATTCGGTGACTGGGCCCCAGACTGGAAGGATGTGAAGCTGAATCTGTGAAGGTGAATCCAGAGTGAGAAGTACACACGTGGATCTGAATCAGAGTCGAATGAATGTTAGTGCTGAACGACAAGACAGGCAGCGCTATTGAATGATCGTTTAGGCCAGCCGTTGTGTTTCACGGTATGTTTGTTGAGCCAGCCGTGTACATGCCAGTGTCCATTGTCTGAAGCATGGCTAGAGACTTAATGCGTGAGCAAGGCGAGATTGCCGGAATGGCGTAAGTTAGTTCATCTGTTGATTTGTGTCGCTTGTGTTACATTGACAATAAACCTGTGAAATGCGTCAGCTGTTGTTGATCGTCATTTAAAGATGTGTGGCTGTGGAGAGAAGTGCCGTCTGGCTAGAATGAACTGTGACCTAACACCTAGACAACAGAGTCAGTGTTGAATCTGCACGAGAGAGACTGAGTGTGGAGGAGACACATTACAACCTGTCTGCCCACTACGCCTGAAGGCATGGGAAAAGGAATTGAATTTACTTTCAAATGATCAAAGAATTCATCATTGGCATCTTTTCATCTTTCCAGACAATAGTGTTATATTGCGCTATGAGGAAGCATGAGACTCACAGTCCATGGCGATGGCGAGTGTGACTAGCAAGACCCGCCCATGTCAAGAAAAGTCTTCCACAATGATAGCATGGGATTTCAGGACCATTGTTAACAACATTTGTGTTTAATCCGTTTCTTTTCAGATGATCAGTTCTCATCCTTTCTGCAATCATTTCTTCCTTCAGTCTCATTCCATTCCAGGTATGCCCTTTCCACACAACATGGTCCATGGCATTTTGTTCCCATGAGTCCGTTTCAATAACTGTATCATTCATGTCCCGCTTGCTCACATCTTTATAACGTAGTAGAGGTCGGCCTCAAAATCTTCTTCCTGTCTTTAATTCACCCTAAAGGATTTCCTTAGGGACTCTGCCATCCTCCATTCTCTAGGTGTGACCCAGCCACCTGAGCCTTCGTAGACTGAGCATGGAAAAGACTGTTGTAGTACCTGCTCTTTCCAATACCTCAGTGTTTGTGATTTTGACCTGCCACTCAAAGCAGTACGTAGCATATAAAGTCCTTTACTTTATATGATCAAATTAGTTCAGTTCTTAGGTCAGAAACAAGGAAAATGACTATAGCCAATTTTTGTCTAAACTGCTCCTTCAGGGTTGCAGCTCTAAAGATTAAACCCAGTGATTAAAGACCCACTATTCATATGGGAAACCAGCAGCAGCAAACCCCAGACCACATTAGCAACCAAGTGCTGGTTGGTCTTTAAAACATAGATCCAGGCCTATATAACTGCAGAAGTAATCTGATTGGTCTATAAAACATAGATCCAGGTCAATATAACTGTTGAAGTAACCTGATTGGTCTATAAAACATAGATCCAAGCCAATATATCTGCTGAAGTAACCTGATTGGTCTATAAAACATAGATCCAAGCCAATATAACTGCTGAAGTAACCTGATTGGTCTATAAAACATATTGAGGCTGATATAACTGTTGAAGTAACCTGATTGGTCTATAAAACATAGATCCAGGCCAATATAACTGTTGAAGTAACCTGATTGGTCTATAAAACATAGATTGAAGCTGATATAACTGCTGAAATAACCTGATTGGTCTATAAAACATAGATCCAGGCCAATATATCTGCTGAAGTAACTCACTTTTTACCGCAAATTACAGTCGGTGAATGCTAAGAAGATAAACCATTTAACGAATGGTACAAAATACATATGGTCAGTGACAATGCTCTTTGTCGGGGGTGGTAGGGGGGGCTGCCTGGTGGTCCCGAGGCTAGAGGTTCCGGGTTCAATCCCCAGAGCTGGGATTTTTTAACGTTGACTTTGACTTCTAGTAACTCCCTCTGGTCTCTGGGTAGTGAGATTGGATGCCCGTGCACTTAATAAAAATCCCTTGACAGTTGGAAATCGAAAAGAGTAGCATAACAGCGCTGCCCAGGCAAAATATGGAGTTAAAAATCATCCAAAGTATTTTAGGATCCTTGCCAGTGCTACAGAACCTGTGCACTGTGCTGAGCTTCTTCAGACTCAGACTTGAGTTAGAAGAAGAACAGAGCATTTATGGATTACTACCTGTGTGCCATGATGTTGGTCAATAGTTCAAACCTCAAAGCTCTTTATGACATATTTATTAATAGCAGAATATGTATTCAGTCAATTAGTTTTACTCGAATTATATAAACTAGAATTATATAGGTAAAGCTGAAGGTAAGAGCCAGAGGATCGACTTCATTGCACCAGGTTTTATCCTATATGGCTCAGTCTCTCTCAGCAGAACAGCTGGCTGCCTGTCGAGAGCTTCACATAGAGCGCGACTTCCGTAGATCCTGCGACGATCCCCAGGGATCTCTGTAAAAATTGCATTTGAGACCTAAACTATGCCGCCGTGAAACGAACTCACAACCTTCAAAGCACGAGGCAAACGGCTTGACCACTTCGCCACAGACCCCAAGCAGAATCATATAAAGTCACCGACTAGGTCAGAAAGCATGGAAAATGATCCTCCTCTTTATATTGAAAATGTTATTCAACTGCATAAAATAGGAACAATGGAAATACCCACGGCTAAAAAAAAAAAAAATACCTACAACCTCCTGTGAATGGGTATCTATTCTTAGCTTGAAAAAAAAAAAATTAGCAATTACAAATAAACTACAGATATTTTTAAAATGGTGTCTGCGCAAAACAGAATTAAACGGTACAAAACAGAATTAAACGGTACAAAACAGAATTAAACGGTACAAAACAGGCACTAATGTCGCAAAACTCAGGTTCTTGAGCAGGACTGCAGTTCAGAAGTGGACGAACAACCAGAACTTTCTGCCAGAGTGTACATACAGCTGGTGAACGCGAAGAAGAAGAAGAAGAAGAAGCAGAAAAAGAAGAAGAAGAAGAAGAAGAAAAAGAAGAAAAAGGCACTAATGCAGAGACAGCAGTGAGAACTAAACAAATTCTAGGTAATGAAGAGGAGAAACATGATTGCCGATGCCAGGCAAGCAAAGCACTTGATCATGATTATGTCTTACCTTTTAGCTCACACTTAGCTCCGGTGAAGCCATTAGGGCATAAACATTGCTGAGTACCAGTGCCGTTTGAACACAGACCTCCATTCTCACATGCCAGGGGACAAACTGGGCAGGTTTCTGATGCTTTTACTGAAAGGTAACAAATATGAAAAAGTAAGTAAGGAGTAAAGTAAAGGACCCTTTTCCATGTCTTTCGGCAAATTGGGCATATAGGGCTAGGTCTACATTTTATATACCAATCGGTACACAGTGGGTGATGTGGGTAACATCATGCCAGCCACCTTTACTTCCCAATTCTTTACTTGGTACCCATGTCAAGATGGGGTTACCTGGAACCCAAGGTGATGTTTTATGTAATCGGGCTCCGTCAGGAGCTGAACCAATGACTTTCTGAACCGCAGGTGAGCATCCAGCCGCTACACCACATCGGCTCTCATATGAACAAATCAAAGGCATTTATTGTTGTTTTTTCTTCTTTAACCAACTTGCCCCGAGAAGTAGAAAATGCAGTACGGTGGCGACCTTAAACGTACAATCCTTTTTGTGACCCAGACGGGACTCAATGTTTAGCATGACTGATGTTGAACGCAGAAGAAGAAGAAGTACTTCCTGTTTGTGCCACACACCCCGTAAATGTTCCTTTCCCGGCTTCCTATAGAGGCTTGTTTTACTTGGGAAACTATAAATGAGCAGTTACTAAAACTGGCATTCAGGTGGGATTTCCTTGTTGAAAATAGCTTTATTTATAGAGATTAGGACATCAAAACTGCCAGGTGATAACTGACGGTCAGGTCACAGAGTCAACAACAAACCATGCTAAACATTTTCTTTAAAGCATAGACAGATGTAGCCCAGCCAATTATCTGCCACATCTGTGTTTATTGCTTGCTTTCACTATTTTCTATGCAATTAAATATCATTTGGGAATTGTAATTTTCTGTGTGACCTGTGTAAATGGTTGTATTTTTTAAGGAATATTTTTCTTGAAAACCTGAAATTCCAATAACATGGGTCCTTTGAATTTTTTTTTTCTAGGTCACCAAGGCAAAATGATTAACAGGCAACAATGGACTAGTATTATCAGACACCCAGAGCATAATACTGATTAGCTGAACTGCAGCTGCATCCATAGAATCGTTAGCCAGTTGATGCATCAGAGATGAGATGTCTTAAAAGAGTTGTCGATGTAACAGAAAGAGATGACATGATTCTGACTTTGCTTCTGCCCTGGTAAAACAGGTAGTTCACCATCATGTAGCCGGTCCTTTGTAAACTGCCGCTCTCATCACAGCCTGCCTGAAAGAACCTCGGTCTCTCGCCAGCTCTCCCGCCTCACGCACTTTCATACTCAAGGAGTCACCTATATCCTGTGCCCATTTTCGTGTTGGTCGGCCCCTGCCCCTCCTTCCTGGTACCATGCCTTCTGCGATAATTTATTTTCCAATTTATTGTGGCACTTGATATGACCAAAATATTTCAGCTTCTGAGACAGGATGCTGTTTATTAGCCAGTCTCCTTGATGTTCAGATCTTTTAATATGACAGTATTTCTCCTCTTCTTTGTCCAAGATATTCTGAGAATCTTTCTACAGCATTTCAGCTCAAAAGCCCCAATTCTCTTTCTTAAGGACTGGGAGATAGTCCATGATTCACATCTGTATGTTGCTACAGGGAAGATGCATGCTCTCAAAATTCTAATTTTTATCTCCTTGCTGGTGCTTAACCATAGACTATTTAGGCTGTTTAATCTTTGCATAGAACAGGTAGTTACATGTGATATTTGTTGCATTTGTACTTCAGTTAAATAGGATTCACTTATTTGCTTCCTTTATGTACTTATTACTGTAGTATGCAACTTGACGAAATTTATTGTTTGTGTCTTCTTTGTTTAAAAGGAGATACATTTAAAGATGAGGAAATTAGAAACAGACTAAGAGTGAAATTAGTTATACAGCTGATTAAATAGCAACAATTGAGATGGTCTGACCACCTGATGAGATGATTAAACAGCAACAGTTGAGATGGTCTGACCACCTGATGAGATGATTAAACAGCAACTGATGATGAGAATACCCTGGTGCCAGCTGTCAGAGAGAGCCAAAGTAAAGAAATGCAATGAATACAGAGCAAGGGAAAGCATGCAAAAGATGGAACAGTGGCAAGAAGAGCAACCTTTAAGAACTGAAAATGAGTTTATGCTATTTTTTAGGAGGATTAGTTTGGAAAAAAAAGGGGAGGATGGACCAAAGAAAAGGAGGAAGGTGTAAAAATAATAATAATATGTAGAAGAAGAACAGGACAAGGTTGGAGTAGAGGAGGAGAACGGTAAAAAAGAATCAGGAGGAGATGAAGGAGAAGAGGAAGAGGAAGAAGTGAAGAAGAATGTGAGAATGGAGTAAAAAGAAGAAGAAGGTGAGAATGGAATAAGAAACAGTAGAAGAAGGTATGGATGGAGTAAGAAGTAGGAGAGGGTGATGATGGATTTAGAAGTAGAAGAAGAAGGTGAGGATGGAGTAAGAAGTAGAAGGAGAGGGTGAGGATGGAGTAAAAAGTAGAAGAAGAAGGTGAGAATGGAGTAAGAAGTTGAGGATGGATTGAGAAGAAGAAGGTGGGATGGAGTGAGAAGTAGAAGAAGGTGAGGATAAAGTTAGTAGAAGAAGAAGAAGATAGAAATGGAGTAAGAAGAAGAAGGTGAGGATAAAGTAAGTAAAAGAAAAAGAAGGTGGGAATGGAGTAAGAAGAAGAAGATGAGAATGGAGTAAGAAGTAGAAGAAGAAGGTGAGGATGGAGTAAGAAGAAGAAGGTGGGATTGAGTGAAAAGTAGAAGAAGAAAGTGAGCATAAAGTAAGTAGAAGAGGGTGAGGATGGAGTAAGAAGTAGAAGAAGAAGATCAGGATGGAGTAAGAAGAAGAAGGTGGGATGGAGTGAGAAGTAGAAGAAGAAGGTGAGGATAAAGTAAGTAGAAGAAGAAGAAGGTGGGAATGGAGTAAAAAGAAGAAGATGAGGATGGAGTAAGAAGTAGAAGAAGAAGGTGAGGATGGAGTCAGAAGAAAAAGAATGTGGGGATGGAGTAAGAAGTAGAAGAAGAAGGTGAGGATAAAGTGAGAAGAAGAAGAAGAAAAAGAAGAAGAACTTGAGAATGAAGATGTAGGTAGAGGCAGTCACAGCAGATGTATGCTGGCTTGAGAACTAGCTGCTCACACATGCTGTGACTGTAACCGACTCAGAAAGCATATTAAGAATGGTGATGACAGGCATGCTCTGTGCAGAGTGGCAAACACTGCTTCTGAGGTCATAGACAGCATACTTTTCTCTGGGGCAGGCAGGAGTGTTGGGAAGTGAAGGGGCAGACAGACTGGCTGGTTCTGCACCAATGGATGGTCAATTTATGCCTAACAATGTGGTCAAGGCCACTTACGGAGCAAGTGAGCAATGAGAAGGCACAAATAAATCATTAAGGTCTGGAGAGAATGGTACAGCTAGGACAGACCAAGAGATCTAGCTGACACTCTACACCACGGTTAGGTAAACAATGGCTCTGTCTACCTACCTATCTGCCTACCCATGTACCTACCTACCTTTCTGCCTTTCCACTAATCCTGCCAGCCGTTACAAAATCTGTATCCCATTCCTTCTAATAACATGTCTGAAAAACACTGCCTGACCACTTTAATTGTTCTAACAAGTTAATGACTTTCATCAGTCTTACGAAAGATTGCTTCATTTTTTTTCTATCATTCCATTATAGTCTTTGTATTCTCAAAATCCCGTCTCTACTGCAAGTAAATATTTTACAGCTTGTTAGCATTTGTCCAGACATGTGGATTCCTGGCCTCGTTTTGAGGTACAAAAATAGACAAGCATGTCATATAAGGCAACTAATTAGGAGTATTTTCTTTGAAAGTGTGTATCTGGCTGAGAAGCGAGAAACCCAACAGTCTGTATACAAATAAGACAGCTCTGAAAAACAGATGTGCATGCAAAAATTCAAGTTGTGAAACGAGACTAACAATTAGGACTTTCTGCTAGAGTTTACAGACTGTGAACACGAATAATAATAATAATAATAATAATAATAATAATAATAATAATAATAATAATAAGAAGAAGAAGAAGAAGAAGAAGAAGAAGAAGAAGAAAGGAAGGAAGAAGAAGAAAGGAAGGAAGAAGAAGGGAAGGAAGAAGAAGAAGAAAAAGAATAAGAAAAAGGCACATAATCTAATGTGCAATTAAAATTACGGAGAAGCAAGATGGGATGAAATGATGCATAGCAACTAAATCAAAAATTAGTGAAAACGAACCTATTTCACACCGAGAACCTGTGAACCTATCAGGACACACACAGCTGGCTTCGTCGTTGGTGATCTTGCAGACACCTCCGTTCGTGCAATTGACTGGAGCACAGTAGTCCACTACATGAAATGTTAAATTTAGGTTACTGGGGGAGTATGAAATTACTGGGGGAGTATGAAATTACTGGGGGAGTATGAAACAAACTATTTAAAATATAACCCCCACCCCACCCCCCACCCCCCCCCCAAAAAAATACAAGCTGACTGTTGATTTCTTTTGATATCTGAAGAGGTTCTAATAATAATAACAAAAATATTATTAATAATAATATGAAGAAAGGAGACTAGGAGGAGGAGAATCAATCGGTACCGACAGGAAGAGAGTGTAGTGGAGAAGCAGCAGGGGATGTTGGATTGAAAAAGGAGTAGGAGAGGGGTAAAAAAAGAAGAAAGTGGAGGTGGAGGAGGTTAACGTGAGAAAAAAGAAGAATGGGAGTATCAAGATGGCACCTGTAAGGAGGAAGGAGCGAAGAAAAAAGAGGAGGTGGAAGATGGAATGAAGAGGGAAGCAGGGAGAGAAGAAGAAAGAGGGAAAAAGGCAGGATAAAGCAAAAAACGGGGGGGGGGGAGGGGCGGGGGTGGCGAGGAAGATAAGCGCAAAAAAAAAGACAGGATGGAAGACAGGAGGAGGAGGAGGAAGGTGGGGTAATAATAACAATCAAACGACGAAGAACAGGAGGACTGGGCGAAGGGGAGGTGTGTAAAGAAGGAGAAGGTTAAAGAAGAATAAGGAGGAGATTGAGGACAAGGGAAGAGGACGTGGCGAAAAAAAGAAGAAGAAGAAAAAGAAGAATATAGTCAAGAAGGAGACAGACAGACAGACAGACAGACAGACAGACAGACAGACAGACAGACAGACAGACAGACAGACAGACAGACAGACAGACAGACAGACAGACAGACAGACAGGCAGGCAGGCAGGCAGGCAGGCAGGCAGGCAGGCAGGCAGGCAGGCAGGCAGGCAGGCAGGCAGGCAGGCAGACAGACAGACAGACAGACAGACAGACAGACAGACAGACAGACAGACAGACAGACAGACAGACAGACAGACAGACAGACAGACAGACAGACAGACAGACAGACAGACAGACAGACAGACAGACAGACAGACAGACAGACAGACAGACAGACAGATAGATAGATAGATAGATAGATAGATAGATAGATAGATAGATAGATAGATAGATAGATAGATAGATAGATAGATAGATAGATAGATAGATAGATAGATAGATAGATAGATAGATAGATAGATAGATAGATAGATAGATAAAAGAAAAAATGAAAGAAAGAAAGAAAAGAAGGAAGAACGATTAGGAAGAAGAAGAAGAAGATGAACCACCGTGGAGACGCTCTCGATCGAGAAGAATATGCAACTTGCCAACAGGGAAGAAGGAGGAGGAGGATATGCTGCTCATAAATTTAAATGATTTCGCAAATGACATGGTATGTAGATGCGCTTGCTCTAATTGTGAGAGCATTTTTAGCTTTGTGCACTTCCGTGGGAAGACCGATCAAGTGGTATTCAAAGGCAGGTAAAAAGAAATGGGCAGAATCTTGTTTCTGTGCTTTATTACATTTGTTGGTTTAACTCTGCAGAAATGCACCTAACGAGATACAGCAAAAAATAAAGTAAAGATCCCTTTTCACGCCTTCAGGCGCATCGGGCACATGGGAAGAGCACCCATATTTTTACAGACAACTCGGCACTCGGTGGGTAATGTGGTCAGCATTAGGCCGGCCTTCTTTACTTCCCCAGGACACACATTCTGGTACCTATTTTAGGCTGGGTCGGCCTGCGTTACGCCCTATACCACGATCAAAATCCACGCCGCCAGCAGTGGGTTTCGATCGCGGTTTGTTGGAATTACGAGTCGGACTCGAAACGCACAAGACACGGACGCTGCACAGCAAAATATGCCAGACAATCAGTTGTTCGTGTCTGCATTTATCTAAATATACAACTTACCAAGACAACTGGTTCCGTCAGTGCCCAGGGAGAAACCAGTGGGGCATGTACACGTAAAACTGCCATTGGTGTTAGCGCAACCATCAGCACAGTTGTGTAGTTTGGCCTCACACTCATTGATGTCTGCAAAACGTCAACATAAAAAAAGGTAAAGGTAAAAGGTAAAGTCGGGAGATGTGAACCAGCGTCATTTCACACAGTTTTAAACCATAAGTGCTCTGCCACCAGTATGGATAGCTGGTAAGAAACTGTCCGCACGCAACTCCGGAGCTACAGTGACCTTCCTCCATTTGCCCCAGAGTGTTAACTCTGGTACCCATTAACTAGAGGCTTGGTGAGCCCCTGGATCCGTCCGGTTTCGAACACCAGTCGTGGGCTGCAGCGAATCGCAGCTGGATTTGAACGCGAGTCTCCTATCGACTGCGCTAACACGTCAACACAAAGATGCCACTGATGCTGCTGGCATAGCAAAATATCCGGTTCAACTCCAAAGTCATCATCAAGTGCATTGGCACCACTCTTCGCTTCCTTTTCCCCCACGGTTTCCCTCTTAATCGCGTATCTTCTTGTATCTTTCTCACCAACTTCCCCCTCCTCTAAGTCTCCTTCTCTGCCGCCTCCTCTCCCAGCTTGGGCTTTGTTAGGCTTCGTAATCTCTTTCCTGTCTCTTTTTCGCGCACCACGGTAGACGTATGACGCACCGCATAATGCATATTACATATCAGACACCAAACCACACACATGACGACGACACATGCCACACATAGTACCCACATACACACACTGTAGCATACATGGGTAAAAGTACAGTTGATTTTCCCACGCCCCGCCCATAAACACACTACGTCACTTCTGATTGGTAGTTCCGGAACCTGTCACCTTGCTACAAGGTTACGGGGGTGTTCCGTGATGCCGTTGACAGCGTGTGTTGTATATTTCAGCAAGCCAGCGCTTTTAACGCTCCAAAAACATGGAGCTACTGGCCCTAACACAACCCCTCTAGAGAGTGCTGCAACCTATGTCACATGCATTCTCTTTCTCGGAATGAAAACGTAAATGCATGACAACACAGAAAGCAAACAAAAGAGCGGTACACACATGTAACTTTCAGGAAAGTCAACCAGCCCAACATACTTGTGAATGAAAAGTGACCTACTTTCTTTTGTGAAATTTGGGTAAACCTAGCCCACACATGTATCACACAATCACACACATAAGAAAGTATGGAGAGGGCGGGGGTCCTAGAGGGGGTCCAGAATCTCTCTGTCGCCTTTCAAATTTTCTGGGGAAAGGGGGGGGGAGGGGCTCAAGGGACCTCAGCCTTCTTTAGGTGAATAATAACAATAATAATAATAATGATACTGTGTTAAATGGCAAATTAATAAAATAGTATACTTGTCACAATCTGAAACAAATAAACGAATGCATAAAAAGAGAACTTCTACATATCTACAGGCGAACTAATGAAGTTCCTTACAAAATATCAATGTTCTGACCCCTCAAATACACATATATCAAACATAACTCTCTCTGTCTCTATCTCTCTCCCCTCTCTCTCTGTCCTCTCTTCATCATCATCTCTCTCTCTCTCTCTTATATCCCCTCTGTTTAATCTCTCAGCTCGTTCTCTCTCTCTTCCTTCACTCTCCTCTCTCCTCTATCTCTTCTCTCTTTTATCGCTCTCCACATATATGTCTTTCTTTCCTCTGTCTCTCTTCACTCAAACCGATCTCTCCCTCCCTAAAACACAACTGACCGGTACAGGAGACGCCATCAGCTGCCAGATTGTATCCACCCAGACAGGAACAAGTGAAGCTTCCCTCTGTGTTTGTGCAGTTCTGGGCACACTTGTTCTGTACACATTCGTCCACATCTGTCGGTTGAGCGAACATACATTTACTGACTGACTGACTGACTGACTGACTGACTGACTGACTGACTGACTGACTTTCTACCCCACCAGGACATCACACAAGCGATAAAAACCCGATGACACAATGTGTCACCATGTAGGTGAGGATCACCGTGGAGAGGTCCCAGAAACCGCGTTCAACCTTTAGGCCATATTTATGGCCAGGCTATATTGCGGCCCCTGGAAAGAGCCAGAGTAGGGCTTCAAATAAAGAAAAATTTCATCCTAAAAAGGATGGGAAAATACATTTACAGTAAAGACCGTTCTAATAACCCAAATAGAGCAGCAAAAGATACTAGACTTGATTCCACAGGATAAGATGGAATGGAGAAATAGATTTTGAATCCTTTGTGACATATAATGGCGTAAGATGAACTACTATAATTATGTTTAATTATGAATTAGGAATCGTCAGCATAACACTCGTAACACTCTCATAAACGCCTAGTCCCCATCTTCAACAGCAAGCGACACGTTCAAACGCCGATGGTACCAGTAACTGTCCGATTGTATATTCATCTCGCCTTTCCCTTTAGTGTTAAGCGTTGACTGGATCTCCTGGTAACTCTCCGCAGTGTCATTCTCCTCAGACCGTAATGATCCATCTGTGCTTCCGCACTGCTAACTCGCACCCAAAGTGCCCTCACATTATCTAACTTGTCATACATCATTTCAGCACCAAGTGGTGCAGTCTATCTGCCTGCTAGTTTCCCAACACACCAGTATATCCTGGAGAAAACATCCAAAGGACGCCAACTACCCGTGACCTCTGAAGCGATGCTTGCCACTCTGCCCAAAGCTCGCTTGTTTCCACATTTCTCAACATAATGGCACGAGAGAAAAATTAATGAATGACCGTCTTACAAAAACTATTAACTGGTGGGAAGTACGGGGGCTGCATGACACTCGATGGCAGCGCAGCAGGAGCAGAGCTCACACCTGTCCAGACTTATCTACCTCTCTCCGCGGTCAGTCTTGAAACACCTTCCCAGCCTGGAGCCTGGCCAGCGTTAGTGCATCAACATTTTTTTCGAAGTGGGAGTGGATCTGCCTGATACGGGAGGAACCAACAGTCTCGACCAAAATAAACCAGATCTGTAAAGCGGATGTACCCGCAACATAAATTCATTTGTGAAAAATGAGTGTTTTGAACGGCCTAATTTAAGTCTGAGTGCCTAATTTGTAACTAAAGAAGAAAAAAAAAAATTGTTTTGTTTGTTCATTCGTTTGTTACGGGTTCATTAATTGTTTCGTCTTTACAAATAGTTGGCTGGGAAAAGGTGGACGGGAAGGTGGAGTTTAGGGGTAGAGGAGTCGGGAGGGGGGATGGAGGCTTATATGGAACCTATCCTGTTGTCTGCCATCCAGATTGAGTTTTTGTTAATCTAAAGAAAAACTTTTAGGCAGCAACAGTAGGGGACAAACTGACCGTCAATCGACGGGGTAAAAAAGGTGTCTTTCACCATGATTCCCTGAAAATATGACGGGTCGTATTAATTTTTGCATGAGAAATGCACAAAGGCTTTTTTTTCGGCGAGGTATTTTTCAGGTACAGAAAAAAAAAAAACCAACATTTATTCATACAGTCACTAATGTCTTTTTCTGGAACATCGTTATGTGAGTGACGTACATTGAGTTATGAACCCCACTCGTTCACTACCAAATGCGCACCAGAAGCGTCTGTATTTTGACCGACCATTACTCAACAAGTCTCTCATTCGAAGTGACGATCTTACTATTGCCTATTTGTGGAGCAGGGCTTAAAAGCTTCCTGAAAATTTTTCCTAGGAATTGAGGTACTTTATTTTTAAATCCCTCCAAACAAAGGAAACCCCCAGAATTCTGGAAAAGTCTAGTATTCTAGGGGGTGTTATGACATTACTTCTGAATGTTGAATGTTGAATTAGGAATCGACATCACAGCACTCAGAACACTTGCATAAGTGCTCAGTCCCCATCTTCAGCAGCAAGCCAAGAGTTCCAATTCCGATGGTACCAGTAACTGATTGTATATCGGTGTCATCCTTTCCCTGAGTGTTGAGCGTCGGCCAGATCCCCTGGTAACCTCTCGCAGCACCATTCTTTTTAGACCGTAATGATCTATTCCCATTACTTCTGTTGGCTGTAATCCTAAAGTCATGTCTGCGCTGATGATAAAACTTGCGGTGCGAAATAGTGTGTGCACCGTGTGGACCAAAATGTGTGTGTGAATGCTGTGTCCCGGGAACTCCTGGGTTTTCTTTGGGGTGAATTAAAAATAAAGTACCCTGCCTTTGACTTCTTCTGGTGCACCCACCTACACACGTTCCAGCAGCAGACGCCGTGTAACCGCTGGGACATCCGCAAGAGTAACTGCCCTGGGTGTTGACACAGGTTTCGCCTGGGCTGCAAGTGGCCGTTCCTTTGGCGCATTCGTCGACGTCTGCGGGCGGAAGTGTGCAAGACACATTTAATTAAATGCATTTGAAAAAAAATGACTAAGAAAAATCATGAACATAAAATAGGTTAAATTTAAAATAATTTAAATTTTTTAAAAACAGAAATGAGGAGATAAGAAATAGTATCTGGACAAATATGTTTGTCGACTGCAATAAGACAAAGGAGGTATAGATACAAGTTATATTGGGCACACCCTGAGAGGAAATGAGCAAAGAAGTACAAATAGGTGCCACCCTAATGGCTGTTTGAAAACAGTATGCAATATAAATCTGTGTTTGTAAACAGTATACAATATAAATCTGTGTTTGTAAACAGTATATAACATAAATCTAAGTTTGTAAACAATATATAATAAAAATTTGTGTTTGTAACTAGTATATACATTTGTAATTATAATTTTGTTATTTATAAGTGTTTGTAAGCAGCAGATAATATAAATAAGTGTTAGTAAACGGTATATAATATAAATATAGTGTTTGTAAACAGTATGTAATATAAATCCGTGTTCCTGAACCTTTTTTTCATCCGCGGCCTACCAAAACAGGCAAACTCGGGCACAAGTCACAGAAACCCCGTTCAACCGTTAGGATATATTAGGGCCTCCGACGGCATATATAAGAAAGAGACAAACACTGTTCTTTGGCTACATAATGAGAAGAGAGACATTGGAGAACATCGTGACAACTGGAAAGATCAGTGGAAAAAGGGATGGAGGCAGACCAAGAGAGAGGACACTGGATGGGCTGAAACGGTGGCATGGAGGGATATCATTAAGAGAGCTGTTCCAGGCAACCAGGAATCGTGATCTGTGATAACGCACGAGCGCCTACGCCAGTTTGCGGGGCATATGTGGTGGGACTTTAAATGTGTCTATTTTTTTACAGTGTGACCTCTGAACTCACCGGGGATCGGGTCAAAGTGGCCTATTAACTGACTAATCACCGAGGGGGGGGGGGGGGTGTAGATAGTAGTACTTTTATTAACTTGGATGTCATCATCATCAACCAGCAAGCCCTTTACAGAACGTCGCTCTCTTCACAGCACGCCTGAAAGTTCCCCTTTTACTAGACAGCTCTCCGGCCCCATGTGCTTTCGATGCCAATGTTTCTTCAATATCCTGTATCCATCTTCGCGGAGGTCGATCCCTGCCTCGCCTTCCACAATCTGCACCCTCCAGCACCGTCTTTTCCAAGCCACTATGACTTGGATGTCACAACATAATTTTCAGCTAACGCGACTGCTGGTGTTGCTGCTTAGGGGCTAAATTTTTGAAAAAGTGGATCTTCACTGGCCAGTGGCTTGACCCCAAGCATAGAAGGATGATTAATACAGCACAACTAGCAATGTCTACGAGCCACTTGGTCCGCCACCACGGGCCAGTTCTGGCCCGCAGGCTGCCAGTTGAATAGATCTGCCTATCCAGGTTGAACAGGGTTAACAGGAATTGTACTTTTTTTATTTCACCCTTGATGCGTTAACTTCTTCGCTCCAAAAACATGGAGCAACTGACCCTAACACAACTCCCCTAGAGAGTGCTGCAACCTATGTCACATGCATTCTCTTTCTCGAAATGAAAACGTAAATGCAAAACACCACAAAACTGACTGAAATCATTCAAGAGAAAAACGACTACCCTACACCGTCATAAGATTAGGTAAAAATTTTCGCGGTGAATCTGGACTTTTCTGCGGTCCACCGTTGGGCTTAGGAACATTGAAATAAATGGTTTCTGAATGAGGTATTCAATAACTGATCTGTTTATACCTGGCTGTAGAATGATATAGTGACTAGTGGTGCTATATATGTATATAAAAAAGTAAAGGACCCTTTTCCACGGCTTTAGGCGTATAGGGCATATAGGGCTAGATCTTTATTTTATAGTCCAACGGCACAAGATGGATAATGATGTAGTCAGCATCACGCCGTATATATGTGTATGTATGTATGAATGTGTATGTATATATGAATGTGTATGTATACATGAATGTGTATGTATACATGAATGTGTATGTATACATGAATGTGTATGTATGTATATATGAATGTGTATGTATATATGAATGTGTATGTATATATGAATGTGTATGTATATAAGAATGTGTATGTATACATGAATGTGTATGTATATATTATTGTGTATGTGTATATGAATGTGTAAGTATACATTAATGTGTATGTATATATAAATGTGTATGTATATATTAATGTGTATGTATATATTAATGTGTATGTATATATTAATGTGTATGTTTATATTAATGTGTATGTATATATGAATGTGTATGTATACATGAATGTGTATGTATATATTAATGTGTATGTATATATGAATGTGTATGTATATATGAATGTGTATGTATATATGAATGTGTATGTATATATGAATGTGTATGTATATATTAATGTGTATGTATATATGAATGTGTATGTATATATGAATGTGTATGTATATATGAATGTGTATGTATACATGAATGTGTATGTATATATGAATGTGTATGTATACATGAATGTGTATGTATATATGAATGTGTATGTATATATGAATGTGTATGTATATATGAATGTGTATGTATATATGAATGTGTATGTATATATGAACGTGTATGTATATATGAATGTGTATGTATATATGAACGTGTATGTATATATGAATGTGTATGATGTATTTATGAATGTGTATGTATATATGAACGTGTATGTATATATGAATGTGTATGTATATATGAACGTGTATGTATATATGAATGTGTATGATGTATTTATGAATGTGTATGATGTATTTATGAATGTGTATGTATATATATATGAATGTGTATGTATAAATGAATGTGTGTGTATACATGAATGTGTATGTATATATGTGTATGTATATATGAATGTGTATGTATATATGAATGTGTATGTATATATGAATGTGTATGTATATATTAATGTGTATGTATTTATGAATGTGTATGTATACATGAATGTGTATGTGTATATGAATGTGTATGTATATATGTATATATGTGTATATTTATATGAATGTGTATGTATATATGTATATATGTGTATATTTATATGACTGTGTATGTATATATGAATGTGTATGTATATATGAATGTGTATGTATATATGAATGTGTATGTATATATGAACGTGTATGTATATACGAATGTGTATGTATATATGAATGTGTATGATGTATTTATGAATGTGTATGATGTATTTATGAATGTGTGTGTATATATATGAATGTGTATGTATATATGAATGTGTATGTATATATGCATGTGTATGTATATAATATATATATATATATATATATATATATATATATATATATATATATAATATATATATATATATATATATATATAACGTTATTCAGTTTAACATATGCTAGCAAAAACAGGGGAGAAGATAGTGAAGGAAAGTTGAAGCATTTGAAAATAAATGTGTGCTGCCTCTGTCGATGATGAACTGCACTTCTAATATCGGACTGTTTGTGTTAGCACTTCTGACACTTTCAACTAAATGCGCGTGTATGCTGGTGGGTATGCTAAAACTGCGGTTGAGTCTGGGTCATTTTGTCTACAAGTTGCAATGACGGATATTCTTTGTATTTTTCGTTGGTACAAGCGCAGAGAAACTTTGGGGTGCCCCGTTTTCTATGAAGCTGAAACTAAGATTACCAGATCTCTGTCTTGTAACTGTTGATACTAATGGTGGCCCGGACATTTCCCACATTTATTCTCACCCCTTGAATTCATTCCATTTTATGTTTATCTTTTTTTCCCTCAAGCATACAAAAAGGTTTCAACTTCATTACAGTCGGGTTTCCCCACACTTGCTCCGTTCCTGTGACAGTGAAAATCAAATCAAATGTCCCTTACTGTCGCATTTAAAAAACTGGTGAACAAACAATTAGTTCCGAAACAATCTAGAAATATGCGCATGCATATGGCAGTTGCTGTAGACGCCAAAGCCAACAGTCGCCGCTAGAAATGCAGTTTGTTGATGGAAGTAGAGAGGCACAATAAGCTGGCTATACACACGCAGAATTATTACATAAGGTATTTCACCAGGCCATACGTAAACTGGCTACCGGCCATACTGAATACAACTACTCATTTGTAGTACAAACGAAAAGGTTTTCCACATAAAAAAAAAAAAAAAAAAAAAAAAAAACAGCTCACTGGGCTTCACCAAGCATTAAACTCAGTAGCTCAGGCAGTGAAACCGTAGCTGCCGTTCATATGTGGAAACTGCATTAACAAAGCGCTGTGAGAAGCAAAAATAACGTCTAAGCTTAACATTATGTCATGACTAGTCCTCCATTTTAGACCGGATGTCAAGTAACAAGAACAGTATCTACAGTTGTTACTTACCTGCGCACTTGCCAGACTGATCTTTGTCATACCCTGCATAGCAGATACAGGCGTAGGAGCCAGCTGTGTTGCTACACAACTGGTCACACAGCCCGGGGGTTTGAGCACACTCGTCCACGTCTGAAAGAAGACGAGAACTGCAGGGTAGGTTTGTTTTTCAACATAAAGGTAGGGTTAGCTCGTTGACGTCCAGACAAGATTAATATAGTGGAGTCACTCTGTTTTTTAAACACAGTTATCGTGTTTTGTCATACTTATCCCTGTCTAGAAAAGTTGAGAATAGCAAAGCTTGTTAGATTTTGAACAAAATATCTTGTTGTTGTTACACTTATCTATCTCTAGAAGAGATGGGAATAGCAGGGTCAGTTTGTTTCTGAACACAAAAGTAATGTTTACTCACACATTCATGTTTAGAAAATCAAACGCATCCATGTCTATAACGCCACACGCATCAATATCTAGAAGGTTACCCATATCCCCTTCTAGAAGGTCACACACATTCATGTTTAGAAGGTCACACACATCCCCTTCTAGAAGGTCACACACATTCATGTCTAGAAGGTCACACACACATCCCCTTCTAGAAGGTCACAGACATTCATGTTTAGAA